AGCACATAGCTTCATCTAAAAACTAACTTACCGTCATCTTTGAAATGAAGGCGTCGGGTCCAATCAACTCGTAACGCTTGTCGGCGTTCTCAGCCACATGCTTTTGGGCCCAATGGGTCTTTCCGGCACCTGGCAAGCCAACCAGCAATATTACTTCACATTCCTTGCGAGATCCGACGCGTTGTGGACCGGAAACCAGCTTTTCGGCAGCTACTAAGCCGATCAATACATAGCCTTCCAGCAGAGCAGCTGTATCCCTCGGCTCGGGTACGACATCCTCATACTCATCTTCGGTTGTCTGCGACCTGTCCTTTTCCTTCTCAGATTCCGCTTTTTCTGAATCCCCATCGGTCTTGGGACGCTTGTTGGGCGAGGGACCGTCCTCATCTTCTTCCTCATTGGTCTCTGAGGGTTTCTTCTCCTCAGATGCCTTTTCATCATTGGCCTTTTCTGCACCAGCATCACCATTCGCCACCGCTGCAGTTTCTCCCGAGTTTTCAGTAGAAGTCTCAACTGAAAGTAAACCCGAAAATATTAGGATATTGTGCGCTAATTTTTATACAATCATTACTCACCAGTTTCCGAAGACTCGGTAGCTTCTGATTCGGGCTTAGCTGCATCAGCAGGAGCGTCGACTTTAGTTTCGGCTTCAGTCTCCGTTTTCGGCGCCGACTCATCCTCTTTGGCTTTTTCAGGATCTTCGACTTCCTCTTCATCTTTCTCTGAAGAAGCCTTGCCATCTTCATCCTTTTTCTCCACCTCATCATCATCTGCCGTGGCTTCGTCCAAGACCTTCCACTTCTCGCCATCGTTGTCATCCTTATCGTCGTCCTTATCCTTGTCTTCGTCTTTACGTGGCTTGCGGCGCTTGCGTGTTGGCCTCTCGGCATTCACCAACAGCTGCTCGGTGTCAGAGAAATTCACAGAGTATTCGTAGCCCTTGGTAACGATGTGCGGAAACAGGGCTCCCTCCTCGCCTAGGATGCTCTTCTCAAACTCGAACGCAACGCCAAGATCCTCGCCATTCAGAGTGTAATTAATTGTGCATGGCTCACTTTCCAGATCTAAATAGCAGCCAATAACGTCATCCAACTGGTAAGGCTTGCCGTAGTCGGTGAACTCGCTCTGAGTGGCCTTACGCCCGGTCTCGCAGTAACCAAATGAATGTTCGGCCTCGCCCAGCAACAAGGAGCTCTGGGGCATTGAAAATCCCACGCGGAAACCTCGCACATGCGGCTCATCCCGGAAGTAGTGCGAGTTCTCCGGTAGCGACTCCTCGGAAAGGCGCACCTCGAAGCATACTTTGCCCTCACGCACTCCGTAGTTTGCGCGTGCTCCGGACCAAATCAGCGAGTAAATCTCCGAGGACAGAGGCTTGGCCGATGCAAATGTGGTTGGGTCGATGCGTAAATGCAAATCGGAATCCACTGTAATATAAATACGAAGAGATTTTAGTTACAGTGAATGATGGATCAAGCCGAAAATTCTAATAGATGTGTTTTACGAGTTATTGGTCTTTTTGATATGAAAATCCGAAAGATGATGCAAACAGTAATCTACTTACGCCAGCTTAATCCCACTTTATTCTCCTCGATAGTGGGCTCGTCCTCAGGAACTGTGCGGTCCTCGGCAGCTGCCTTTGAGTCACGCTTGTCACCTACACTGCTCCGATTTTTGGGCGAGTGGGAGCCACTGCGCGATTTGGATTTGGAGCGACTGTGTGATCGCTTGCGGCGTTCCTGCGGCTGATCCTCAGGCTTTGTTCCTGGCTCGGTCTCCTCCTCTGCTTTTGGGGCGGCCGAATCCTCCTCGTCAACGTCCATTTTCTGACTGTCGCCATTTGACTGATGCTCAACCACAGTGCTCTCGGCTGGTTTCTCTTCTACAGGCTCGTCAGTTTGTGTAGATTCCTGCTGCTCAGGAGCTGCATCCTGATCTTGTTCCATGGGTTCATCAGCCACTTCATTATGTGGAACGGCGGCGGGGACTTCCTGTTCGACTGTCTCCTCTTTGTCGTCTGATTCCGACTTTTCATTAGACTCTTCGGCCTCTGGCTGCGACTCTTCGTTTATCGCTTGGCTTGCGGTTGTGTCCTCCGTCTCTGCAGCTAGTTCAGCTTCCTCCGGCTCACTTTGTTCTGGTTCCGGCTCGGGTGCCGGTTCACGTTCTGGCTCTGACTTCTCCTCCTGCTGCTCTTCCTCTTCCAGGGTATCGAGCACTGGTTCTGCCGCCAAGGGAGCAGCTTGCACCGGCGATGGAGAGCGGGACATGGAGCGCGTGCGACGCTGACGACGGCTTGGTGTTACCGGCGCATTTTCTGGAGGCGGGAAAAGTCAAAAGTGATTACTGTTGCGTTATATAAGGAAAACTTACAACTAACTCACGCTGAGCCACACACAAACGCGAACACACGCATGACTTGGACGCGGCAAGCCACACGTACACAGTGAAACGCGCATACACAGACACAAAACGGGCGCACAAACGCCGCATACACACAAACTTACCTCCGTCGCCGGCTCCTCCTTCCACATATGCCCTAAGGCGCTCGACGAGCACCGCCTTGACTCCTTTGGTGTCCAGGCCACGCGATTGGAGCTCGTTGCGCAGGTCCACCACCTTCATCTTCTCCAGCTTCGCCACATCCATTTTTGCGCTTTAACTTTGGATTGGCGGCAGAAACACACACGCTTATTCACACCAATGCACCGCTGCAAAGCTGGCGATGCGAAAAAACGAATTTGGGGAGCAATTACAAGCGAAATTGTGCTGTCAGGCAATTGGCACTCGCGCTGGAAATATCACCCAAGTCAAGTCGCAATGTTTGCTAGCACCGTGCGCGCACAAATCAACCGCAATATTCGCTTTTACATTCGCATTCGTTGCGAATAAATAAATGGCCCAAAAACTTATACCGAACGCGTTGAAGTGAAGTTGGCTGCGATTGCGAAAACGAAAACGCAGGACTGCAGTGCCGGCTTTCGATACCTAAGCTCGTGCGGTTATCGATACCCGGCTGCACATCGTTAGCGGCAGATGGCGCTGGTGTGCATCAATCGTTTGCATGTGCGCTGCAAGAAAATTGTATATGATTGAAAGTTTTATAGTTATTACTATATGAAAGAGAACTATGAGCATATAAAAGTCAACGTTTTTTTCAAAACATAAATAATAGTATAAATACATATAGTACACAATGATTTTTATTTAAAGGCTTTAGCTATGTTGGCCGTTTGGCGCGCTTGTTGACAACGACTCCGTGGCGCAACGGTAGCGCGTCCGACTCCAGATCGGAAGGTTGCGTGTTCAAATCACGTCGGGGTCATTTGAAAATTTTTTTTATTTTTAAATTCATATTTTGTTGTTAATTAATGAACTATTTTTCTTTGAAATTTTGTATTTCTTTTTTTTATATGTAGGCAATTATTTTTTTTTTTTTAGAAAAAAGGCAAAAGAAAAAACATTCAAATTTTAAATTTAACATAAAAAATTTATTGAAAAAAAGAGGTTGCATCGGCCGGGAATCGAACCCGGGCCGCCCGCGTGGCAGGCGAGCATTCTACCACTGAACCACCGATGCTTAAATGCAAGTTGTCCCAGCATAAATATATGCTTGGATAGCAAAACCAGTTGTTTATTATTGGGCAAGAAACTGCAAACTACAAAACTACAAAAAAGACACTACAATAATAAGATGCGTAACGCCGTGCGATTTTTCTGCACACGATTTTTTCGGGCTGGCTCTAGAGCTGGCTCCAGGCTCTCTCGAATTTAAAAATAACGGAAAAAATAGGCTGAAAATGTCCTAAAAATTACTTACAGCTCGAGATTAATTTAGTAGCACTTTGCATACATGCATGCATACATACATACATACATACATACATACGTACATGCATACATACATACATACATACATACGTACATACATACATACATACATACATACATACATACATACATACATGCATACATACATACATACATACACACACACACATACATATGTACATACATACATACATACATATGTACATACATACATACACTACATATACCCTACACATACACTACACATACACATACAATATTTTCTGACTTGCTTTTTGCTAAATTAGAAGACATGCCTTACAGTCTTCACTAGAACTAGTTGGGAATTATAGGGCTACAAGAAAATATTTTCAGTATTTTAAATGCAAATATTATTTTATATCTTTTTGTTATATTCTAATTTGATATTTTTAAAAACCTCGCAATTTTGGTATTTAACAGTTCCATACATGAGAAAAACTACTCTATAGAATCGGACTTTGGAAAATTAAAGGCACCATCTGATTTTTTTTTAATGTCTGCAATATACACATTAAAGTTTTTGAAAATATTTTTAAAAATAATAAAAAACAACGGTGTATCAAACAATTTATTGTGGAGCAATGCATTAGGTGCACAAATGAAAGTACCGATTTCTCATTATGGTTTCACTCAAATAAAATTATGTGCATAAAATTGATACATATTTTAAACAAAATTATAAAAGTTTTACTTTTTAAGCATTGCAAGTGGACTGTGATAGAGAAGAGAGCAATTACTGCCGCCACTAAAAAAGTGGCTACATAGTGCAAAACCAATGTATGGCCGTTACGCATCTTATTATTCTAGTGTCTTTGGTTAAACCTATTGTAAATTCTATTGTTCATAGTGGTTATTGTCTTGAACTTCCATAAAATTATTAATAGTAAATACCAGATTCCTGAATTCGAACTACAGGTACTTAACAAAACGTTGTTATATTATTATTGCGCAAATGTGCGTATGTTTTCTATATGTCTATAATGTCTATAATTAAAACGTGCTTTTTTAACATCGTTTTAGCCATGCCCCTTTAGCAGAACAGTTGTAATTAAATTTTGTAAATATTGTATCAACATGCCATACTCATGTTGCTTTAAAGCTATAAGTTAAAGAGGCAGACCTCAATATTTCGCAATTGATGTGCTTGAATTCAGGAATATGACTCTATGGTGGATACAAGGACTTTTAATCCTGTGTACAGTCTCAGTGGTAAAATTAAATAAAATAAAAACAAAAGAAAATTTAGATAATAACACATTTTTTTTTATTTTAGGGCTCAAGAAAAAGTAACTTTGAAGTCCGCTTTGAGTCTATTGAACCCGTGGAAGGAGATACAAAAACCCTTTTTATATACCAGCTACGATTGCTCGGAAGAGACCGCAAGATAAATAGAAGTCTTATCTTTTTAGAAGACTTGGACGAAACGTTTGACATTCTTTTAGAATCCCACGCATTCAAGAATGGAAATTGGGTCAAAGGAATCGTGAACGTCGCTAGCAAACCATGCGATTTTTTCAATCGCTACTACCTTTCCTATTTCCGAATATTATCCACCGATTCGAATTTACCCACTACCCGTGCTGAAATATGTCCTTTTCGAAAAGGTACGTATTTTGTGAAAGACGGCGTTGTTTCTACCGATGATTGGCCACCTATTGTCTTCAAAGGCCTAAACAAATACACGATTTCGTATCTTAAAGATGGCGAAAGAACTGGGGGAGTTGAGTTTACAATAAGTATATTAGAAATCATCCCATAGCCTTAAAAACATTTTCAAAATGTAAATGTCATTACTATTTGAAGAGAAAGTTATTTAGTAATAAAGTTATATCTACCTACTTGTTCCCGAAAGTAAATCAGCTTTACTAATCTTAGTTTTAAAACCATTCGAAGATCGAAAATTCAATTGAATCCTTGTGTGTATGTATAGCCAAGCCATTTTTATATATTTTTCTTACATTTTTGATTACAGTTTATAGTTACAGCTAAAATGATTGCATTCGAAATTGTTTCGTTTCGTTTACACGGAGTATGCGCATATATATTTAGCTAAGAATCTCTTTTAAATAGTAATAGGTTCTTTAATGGGGTTCACATAAATATTTACATGCACATGTGCACATCGAATTGTAATAATTATTTATCGTTATATATCGCTCTTACGTTCCCAGTTCAGATCCATTTCTAAGGCTCGTCCCAAGCAACCGTCTCCAGCGTCGGAACTCAATCTTGTATCTAATTGAAGAGAGATTATGTCGCATTCATCAATTGCTATTGCTAATCGGCCGATAATTACAGCAGATTAACAGATTAATCAGGAAATCAATGACAATACAGCCGAATACAATCAACTCAACGATCAAAACTTAAACAAAAGGCAAGCAGAAGCATTTGCGGTGGACAGCGACAATTAACACATGCACCAATCAATTAACACATCTGCGACATTTCCGAATTGCGTAACAACTAAACACTAAAATAAGCTTTAATATCTAACCAGCACCCAGAAGCCCGTGGCGTCATCCCGCCGAAAGTAGCGCGGTCGATTGTCCCTGAAGACGGTGACGGCGGGGAACTGATTCTCCTGTATAAACCTAATGGTGGCACGCGTCTGAAATGGAAAACCAGTGTGATTGTGTGCGATTGCACAGATTGCACATATAGAAGTCCATATACCTGGGGCGCAAAGTGAGGCGGCTCCACGTCTGGACTGGAGGACAGGTGCTGCAGCAGAAACTCATCCGTTTGGGATAGCCACAGATCAGCGCCGCGCAACGGATCGTAGTTGAAGGGTCCAATGCGAAGCATGCCCAGCGAAGAGTCGTATATATCCAGAACCTAAGGAACACATCCAAGTGATTAGCAGGCATTAGACATTGAAATGCAAAATGGCCCTACTTACCGACTGCGCGCCCATGAAAATGCGAGCATCGCGTAGCTCCCGGTCGGGTCCTCGGTCTGGAAAGGAGGCCGGAAAGATCTCACCAGTCTTGATGTTCACGCCCACTCCGTAGATGATCGGGCAGTTGATCTCGCCGCGCATCATGGTATTTAGCTCGCCCACGCAAGCCTGCGTCAGATCGATCTCCAGTAGGTGATTGTGGAATGATTCTGAGAAGTCAAATAAAAACGATAAATTCAATTCATATAACTTGGAGTAGCTGGTTAGAAAGAAACTCACGCATAATGCTGAAGAATACGTCCTCGCCGTATCCTTTGGCATCCCGATAGCCACCAATCAACTGCAACTCGATGCGACCCTCCGGATAGCCGACGGCCAGCTCCTGAACCCGCGACACCATGGTGCACACAGCCTCGTCCACGCCGCTGCCATCGAAGTGCGCCAGAGCCACAGCTCCAGATCCTGTCGTGAATTATTGTTTATTAGTCCCGTTTAATGAGCCAAACGACGCTTGTTTATGGGGCAAAGAATATTAGGGATACCTACCCGAGTGTCGGACCACGACGATAATACAGGTGGTGGCATCGTCGGCACCGATGATGTTGACGTGCTTGTCGTGCGGAGCGGAGGCGGCCATCTCCCGCTGACCCACGTAGAGCAGACCCACCGGACCCACCGACTTCGCCTGGATGGAGTGCAGCTGCTGGGCGTAGTCTCTGTAGACGGGATGCTGCAGGAACAGGCTGTTGGTGTCCATGGGGCAGTCGTCCTGCAGCACACCATTCAGCACGAGCACCATCCTGGCTGTCTGTTTAGTCCTTCCTTGACCCTCTCCAAAGGGTTTCGCGTTCAGTTACTTGGAGTTTGTCTCTCGAGCAAGACAAGTAGCAGGCAACTGCAAGAGATAGAGGTGGCACGAAATGAGACTTAGAATCCAATGGAGGTGGGTTATATGTATATATGCAAGTACTTCTTTCCGCAGCCGCCATAAAAGCTCAGACTTCAACAGAAGCAGCAGCATAAAAATCAATTTACGATGCCCGCAACCGCCACAGATTTGCATGTTTGATAATAATTTCACGCAGCCGGGTCTGAGAAATATGTTTACACCTCGATCCTGCCACGACTGACTCGTAAATTTAACCAGCTCTCGAACGAGAAGTGCAAATAAAAATGTCAAAAGTTGGGGGCCTGCGGCCGATTCGATTCCCATCTGCTCACCGGTGGTTAACCAACAATGGACACCCTGAAATTGGTTCGCAGAGGCGTGGCCCAGAAGGGGATCGATTCCCTTGGGCTGGGTGGCTCGTGGCTCTCCAGGGGGGAAATCTAATGAAACAATTAGAAGGCCACTGGGGGGGTCATCAATTTACGGAGTGCTAACCACTGCCCATATGACGGCCAATTGAGGCGAACACCCCAAGTCACAGATGTCACACGAAAGTTAATAACCATTAAGTGGACGTAGCGGCGAATTAACCACCAAATGAACAACAAATTTAATAGAATTTAATAATGCTGAACATCACCCGGCTGCCGAGTGCAATTGCAACTCGACTTGAGTCACCGCCCGCTGGGTAATTGAATTATTTACCTACGGATGCCGTCTAGTTTCAATTAAGCGAAATAAAGACGGGTTAAAGTTCAAGTATAAGTGCATACGAGTATACGAGCAGAGTAACAACATCGTAAGGGGCTCATAAACATAAATGATTACATGGGCAGCGCACAAAAATGTCTCGAAAAACAATTGTCAGAGCTAATTCCCGATGCAAAAAACGTTGTGTGCTTGTCCAAAAAACCAAAACGAACACAAAATAATAAACCAAAAGAGCAAACAAAGCCCCCAAGAATCCCCAACCAGGAACAACACTATTAACTTCGTTCGGGGCGGAAAACAATGGAAAACGTTGTGGAAAAATCAAACAGCAAAACGTGAAGAGCCCGCTCTGGTTGCTGGATGCTGGATGCTGGACTTGGATGCTGGATTTGGATGCTGGATTTGGATGCTGGATGGCGCAGGAACCCAGCTAGGATAGCAATTGTTGTGCTGGCCTGGTCTGGTCTGGCCTGGTCTTGCCTGGAAGCAATTTAGCCGCGATCATGCATGAATCTTGATTAGATATTCAACGAGAAATAATTTGAAAATGATGACAGTTGGCGATAGGCTCGCTCCACTCTCGCAGCCAAAGGATGGATGGTCACAGTGAGAGAAAAGCGGTGTATACAAATAAGGCAAAATCGAATTTACAAATATGTGAAACTGCAGTGGCATTTTGTCAAGGTATTGGAATAGGTCATAACAGACTAGTTTATCTAAGCGATCTGCATATTGGTAGCTTGTTTATCTTCTGCAAACGTTACTGCCCGCAAACGGCAAAAAGTACACACAAAATGCATGTAATTCATAGATACTTGGATAATTTTGTTATAAATCCTTGTAGTCAAATCCAAGTGGGATTTCTTCTGTGCAACACAACCAGCCAGGCAATCGAACGAAGCAGGAAAAGGAGCCGCAGAATGCAGCCGATCTATGTAGGTGAGGCAGGATGACCGAGTTTTCCACCAAACTGATTCCTAATCAAAGACCCAAAAGTTCTGTTGACTCTGGCTGAGCGGGCGGTCTTGCCAGTCAGTTCGTGCCTGGGCCAGAGATTCCCTCCACTTGATAGGTCGTCCGGCAAACCAGAAACCAGAATCCCAAGAAATCCCAGTTAGCTAGTCAAAGAGGAGTCCCCAATCCCCAATCCCCAATCCCGCGCTGATCGATGGCAGTCGAACCCAAACGGATGATGGCGGCCAAGAAAAGCAAAATAAAATAAAATAAAATAAAATAGTGAAAAGGAACGCAGCGAACAAGGCCATCAGAAACGATTCAATTCATTAGGCGGGCGACGAGTCTATTAGGAGCACTGGCGGACTGGTCCGTAAAACTCGTTACGGTTCTGGCTTATAACAATCACAAATTATGGGTTTGTGGCCGAGCTGGCAAAATGATCTTGTAGATTTAACACTGATAGCCCGGCCAGAAAACAGGTTCCATTTGTCTACTGGCCGGGCATTCTTGGCCACATGATTGATTGCAATTTTGACGAGTGCAACAACGGCGGCAGCAGCAGCAGCAGCAGCAACTGCAACTGACAGCAGCAACAGTTACAACTGCTACTTTTCTTCTTGGTTCACGGTTCACGGTTTTCGGTTCTTCGTTCCTGGTGCTTGGTTCTTGGTTGTGGCCAAGTAATTTACACCCAGCCTCTGCCATCCAGCTCATCTGTCCAAGTGTCTGAACAAGCCGGCCGCACACTTGAAATTCTTTTAGACAGCCCTTTTCTTTTACACAACACAATTGTCAACGAGAGCGCGAACAAATTTCAGCTAACAAATACAAGCTGCAACACAACCGGTTCTTTGCCTGGCCGAAATTCCGGGCAAAATGAAGAAATTGCAGGCGGGAATCTAAATCCAAGAGCAACATGTGATGTGACAGGGCGAGCGGAGGAGTTGGAGGAATCAAAGCGACTTGGTTTTGGCCAAAACTGAAGGCCTTCTTCCGGGTTCGTGATTTTCCTTTTGGTGCTGCTGCTGCTGCTGATGCTGCTGCAATTGCCATTGTTTTCCACACATTTCATGGCCAGCATGCGGAAATATTGTAAAATTAATTTCAATCGTTTGTTAATCGAAAGATAACTCCATACAGACAGTGGAGTGAGTAGGTTCTGTGTGAGCTGATGCCCATAATCCACCATTTAATGCCGCACTGACAATTTAATTTGGCCCATCTGCAGTGGATTGTTTTGGCCCTGGTCCAGGACCAGGTCGAATGGTTTTGGCTAAACGTGACTGCCAATTGACTTCCA